CAGCTGAAAGGAAAGTAACTCGCTGTTGAGACTTCACACTAAATATAGGTTGGATGATACTTTAAGGGCTTTTCTCTAACAATTTGTGTATTATCTGTATACATTCTCTGATTTAGAGGCATGTAATGTTTTTATTTTTAAGCAGGCCTCACTGAGCATAAAAAGAGTGTTGCAATTAAGACAGACAAAGAAAGTAAAAGAGTGACAAAGAATTGGAGAATTACCAGTCTGCACTACTGAACACAATGAATGACATGAGGGAAAAAAAGCAGAACACCAATAACAGCTGCAAGTAAAAACACATGAATTATTGTTTTCCAATGCTGCAGCATTTGCACAGTGACACAGGCTCTGATGGATATGAAATGCATGGCAATGAAATTATAGAGTAACACGATATGTGCAATAAGGAAGGTGTAAAAGGTAGAGCTGAGGGGAGAAAATGTGGAGTATTCATGAGAAGATTCAAGGCACATCCTCTTACTTTAATACAGGGGAAACTGACTGTTCAGCTCGTCCCACTGCTGGTCACCTTGTTGTGACACTGGCTGGCATAACGACCGCCTCTTTGTAGTGTTAGGGAAATAAATTTTTTAGAATGAATCCGGCCGGCTGCCATAACGACCGCCTCTTTGTAGTGTTAGGGAACTAAATTTTTTAGAATGAATCCGGCCTCATTATTGACACTTTGATCTTAGAGCCAGCGGATGTAGCCTCTGTATCTCTTTGTAGCGCTACAGTTAATGTCAGCATGCTGGAAATCAAAGGATGAACCATTGTCCAGGTGTCTATATAAATCGATCCTTGAAAGGTAAGGCCATGGGATTCACAGGCTTTGAAGATGTCACAGTTAGTCAGACAGATGGCGGCAAATTATCTCAGGCGATGGTGAAAAACCAAGAACAAAAACAATTGTTTTATTGTTGGATTTAACCTAATTCTGACATGTTGACAGAAGACCAGTACATATCTTTTATTGCAAATGAATATGACAACAAATACACATAAATACAGCCAGGGAGGAAAAGAATAACTTGAGTCAACACGACTGTTTCTGAACATAGTCATTTTGGAAATTGGTCCAAGGTTACTTGGCTGCATTTCCATACATCCCTGTACTGGCAATGTAGAAGAAAACAACATTAACCCTGACTGGCATGTACAAGCTGCAAGCTGGCAAACTAACATTTTAATCCCTGCTGTTCCTTCTAAAGACTGACCTGGAGAACAAACTGTGCTGTTGCCAGTCCTGTCTGATCATTCAGCTGCTTCCATTTGCAGGGGACTGGACGGCAGCCTGCAGGGTCCTCCGTGCCATCTCCAGGGCTCCTTCCTGGGTCTTGTTCCCACCAAGGAACCCGCCAGCATGGACGAAGATGCAACCCTTAATCCCGCTGAGCTCCGACAGTGCTTCATCTCGAACACCACGCCACTCTTCTGGCAGGGGCAGCCTGGGACAGGAAGACAGAAGGGCATGTTGGCTTACAGATGGATGCTATGTGGTCTGCTGAACACTTCCCCTTGACACAAATAATACTGCAAAGAACACAGTGCTGTACAAGTCTGGACAAGCAGAAAAACAGCAAGTACAGCAAATAGAATATAAACAAAAGAGCAAAGTAAACTAAATAAAGATGCAACATTAGGTCAACTGACAGAAAATTAATAACTTAATAAATAATAGGAAACTCTGTGACTGGTCAATTGTCAGAGTCAAATTTGCTGGTTCAAGCCGCTCAAATGTGAAAAACTGCTTCTCTTCTGTGTCTTATATAGTAACAAATTGAGTATCTTTGGATTTTGAAGCAATATAAACATGTGACCTTGCGATTTAGGTTTTCTGAAAACCAATTAACTGACAAAATGAACAGCAAAATAATTGATAATGAAAATAATTAAGTTGCAGTGTGAACACAAAACTGGCAAAACAAAGGCATTATAAAGTGTGAATTACATTATTTCCTCCTATTTCTGCATGGCTCTGCACAAACACTACACTGCGCTTTTCAGATTTCATGAGCAGAAAGATGTGAGGTAAACTGCTCCCATCAAAGGCAAACTGTAGTAACCTTAGCACACAGTGCCACTACAATCACTATCAGGAAACAGACCTATAAAAACCTGCTTTATACTTGTACAGTAATGGCTGCAGATCGGCTCAATGGTTGGAGAACCATGGGGCAGCAGCAGAGTCAACAGGCAATCTTACAAAGCAGGGAAAAGATTGCTTCTGTGAGCTCGACAAAGTGTCTCTGGGTGATGTATACACAGGCTGAAATTTCGTAAAAACTGATATGATGCGTGTAATGCTCATTTACCGCCCACTGTGTGCAGAATACACCTCTGTCTACAGCCAAAAGAGATCATTTAAAACACATAACCAGTTCATTTATGAGTGCAAGAGCGTGCACATCATTCTTGCCCTGATGAGGTTATTATGACCATTGCCTCACACTGCAGTTCTTCTCTAAGTACTGATATACTTAGTAATGTTTTATTCTGCTTTCATTGATTCATCTCTTCATCACCATAACCTTAAACTGCTTCTGAAATAGACTTTAAATATTTTAAAAACTCACTAAATCTGCTAAAAGCTTCACATTTCTAATTGTCACGCCAAACTCAGGCTCCTCTGTTTCTGTCTCATGCTCGATGAATTCTGGAAGTGTACAACCTGTCAAAAATAAAGTGACGTTTGTCAAATACCGCTGCGGTTTGAAAGAAGTACAGTGTTTTCTCTTGTTCTCGATTCTGAAAGGTCCATTTCACAGACATTCTGCTTTCCTTTGAATATTAATTACCACTCTCTATAACATCCCCAAAAAATTGTAATATTCAGAGAGTGACACACTTCACAGATGCAAACGTGACCCATTATGTCAAATGATTCACATGCACTGCCGCCATCTCATCCCTCATATCTTATATCCCTACTACAACTGTCAACCTGGAGAAGAGAGCATGGCAAACTCCTAATCCCTATTAAATGAATCAACCAATCAATAGCTCCACAGTATAGCTAGAAAACAAGCACCAAGGAAAGGTCAACAGGAAAGGCATAGGAGGGGGTATTACTGTTGTTTACAGACCAGGAAGTTCTGAGTCTCAGGATGTCTGGTCTAAGTAGAGTTTATAGCCACACAGGTTTTAGCAAATTACTCTTTTCATAGGAAGACTCCACACCCCGATGCCTTTACTGTACCACAATACTGATATTGAGATAATTAGATATACAGGAGATAATAGGTTACTGAAAAATAAAAACTACAGTGGTGTGAAAAAGTATTTGCCCCCTTACTGATTTCTTATCTTTTTGCATGTTTGTCACACTGTAATGTTTCAGATCATCAAACAAATTTATATATTAGTCAAAGATAACACAAGTAAACACATCATGCAGTTTTTAAATGAAGGTTTTTATTATTAAGGGAAAACAAAATCCAAAACTACAAAGCCCTGTGTGAATAAGTGTTTGCCCCCTAAACCTAATAACTGGTTGGGCCACCCTTAGCAGCAACAACTGCAATCAAGCGTTTTCGATAACTTGCCATGAGTCTGCCACAGCGCTGTGGAGGAATTTTGGCCCACTCATCTTGGCAGAATTGTTGTAAGTCAGCCACATTGGAAGGTTTTCGGGCATGAACTGCCTTTTTAAGGTCATGCCACAGCATCTCAATTGGATTCAGGTCAGGACTTTGACTAGGCCACTCCAAAGTCTTCATGTTGTTTTTCTTCAGCCATTCAGAAGTGGACTTGCTGGTGTGCTTTGGATCATTGTCCTGCTGCAGAACCCAAGTTCGCTTCAGCTTGAGGTCACAAACGGATGGCCGGACATTCTCCTTCAGGATATTTTGGTACACAGCAGAATTCATGGTTCCACTTATCACAGCATGTCTTCCAGGGCCTGAAGCAGCAAAACAGCCCCAGACCATCACACTACCACCACCATATTTTACTGTTGGTATGATGTTCTTTTTCTGAAATGCGGTGTTACATATACGCCACACATAATGGGACACACACCTTCCAAAAAGTTCAACTTTTGTCTCGTCTGTCCACAGAGTATTATCCCAAAAGTCTTGGGGATCATCAAGATGTTTTCTGGCAAAACTGAGACGAGCCTTTATGTTCTTTTTGCTCAGCAGTGGTTTTCGTCTTGGAACTCTGCCATGCAAACCATTTTTGCCCAGTCTCTTTCTTATGGTGGAGTCATGAACACTCACCTTAACTGAGGCAAGTGAGGCCTGCAGTTCTTTGGATGTTGTTGTGGGGTCTTTTGTGACCTCTTGGATGAGTTGTCGCTGCGCTCTTGGGGTAATTTTGGTCGGCCGGCCACTCCTGGGAAGGTTCTCCACTGTTCCATGTTTTCGCCATTTGTGGATAATGGCTCTCACTGTGGTTCGCTGCAGTCCCAAAGCTTTAGAAATGGCTTTATAACCTTTTCCAAACTGATAGAGCTCAATTATTCTCTTTCTCATTTGGTTTTGAATTTCTTTGGATCTCGGCATGATGTCTAGCTTTTGAGGATCTTTTGGTCTACTTCACTTTGTCAGGCAGGTCCTATTTAAGTGATTTCTTGATTGCGAACAGGTGTGGCAGTAATCAGGCCTGGGTGTGGCTAGAGAAATTGAACTCAGGTGCGATAAACCAGTGTTTTGACAGGGGGGCAAACACTTGTTCACACAGGGCTATATAGTTTTGGATTTTGTTTTCCCTTAATAATAAAAACCTTCATTTAAAAACTGCATGATGTGTTTACTTGTGTTATCTTTGACTAATATTTAAATTTGTTTGATGATCTGAAACATTACAGTGTGACAAACATGCAAAAAGATAAGAAATCAGTAAGGGGGCAAATACTTTTTCACACCACTGTACATCTGTTTTGTGATGTTGTACAGTGTCTCAGCCCTGTGCAAGTCTTCCTGTCCAAGACGACAAGACATACTGTATATATATATGAATATGCAGGGGTAGTGAATCCTCCTGCAGCTTTCTCACTCATAATTCACTGATGCCATCTCTGTGGTACAAATCTGACACATTTCTCAACTTCTGATTTCAACATCGGCCATACAAGTGAGTTATATTCTCACCACAGTCCCTCAACTAGATAAAAAAACTATACCACACAGACTAGATCTGAAACCATTAAGTCTTTAGTCTAGTGATAAAAAAAAAAAAATCATAGTTGATGGATCAATATTTATAATTTAGCATGCAAAAATGTCCAATATTCTGGAGTTTCACCTTCTCATTGTTAAGGATTTGCAGCTTTACTTCCATTGATGTGGTAAATTATTGAATATCTTAATCTTTTGAAATGTCTGTCAAACATTTGAAGAGATTACCTACGGCTTTGGAAATTGCGATGAGTATTTTTCACTATTTTCTGACTAATGTGCAGCCCTAATACAGAGGCACAGCGGATAACGGTGACAGCAGCCGGTGCACACTTCCATAAATAGAGGTATATGTTCTGGTATTGCTGTCCACCTACAGTATTACCCTATACAGCACATCTCCAAGGAAAGACTGCTTTCGTTCCCTATCTTCCTTCTCCCGGCTCACACTTCCTTAGCAATGTGATGCTGATAAATATAGACCTTTTTTTACCCCCCTGGCGCAGAAGCAGGGACACAGGTGATAACAACACTCCTTTCGCAGAGCCGGCACATACATACTGGGAGGAAGCAGACCACCCAGAGAAAGAGCCATCTGGAGCTATGTTTTTTTTATCCATCTCATGTGCAATTGTTCTCATGACGCTCCACACCAAGCAAGATTGCATTAAATTAAATTTTTGAAGTTGTCTGTGACCAAAAACAGGTGTGAGTCTTTGTAAAGCTTTTTGAACGCCTTACCGCCTGATGAGATTCTGCAGCGGAGTGTGGGAAAAATGTTTCGTGGAGAAATGGAGGGAGGAGCAAATGGTGTAAAAGGTGAGAGTGAGATAAGGGAAGAGGGTGGATGAGGGAGGAGAGGAGGAGTGGGAAGGAATAAAACAGGGGAAAAGGTGATGATATAGAAGAGGCAATTATAGGAAAGAGATAGAAATACTGAAGAGACAGAGAGGAGTGGAGCTCACGGAAAGAGGTGAAAATAGAAGCAGTTCCTGGTCCGATAAGGCCTGAATCAAAAAGCTGTTGATGTGTCTTTGGGCATGATGTGCTCAGGGGGCCCCCTACTGCTGACTAGCAACCCAGAATATCAAACCTAGAAACATAAGAGCATATACTGATCAAGGAAACAAGACACTGACAAGAAAACATGACAAAGAAGCAAGCCTTGATGCAGGAAAAGCCTGGAGCACATCTCCATGGTCATACACTGATGACCATGGAGATGGTAATTATCAGACAACACACCAGCTAAAGGACCAGTGGGGGATACTGATGACATCATCAGAGCAGAACTGTGGGTCAAAGCACAAGTGTGTCCTCAGGTAAACAGTTCCCCTCCAGATGTAACACAGACCAGATGGGTGTTAATCATCTGACAAATTCACACAGTGTCTTTGACTTGTCATGTAAGGAAGCAAGAATACTAATGTGATTTAATGAGCACAGATGAGACACATTTCATTTAAGTGCCAGGTTTGAAGGTTCAAGAACTCACTGTTCCAGGAAAAACAAGAAAAGGTGAAACATTTATAGATGCAACCAAGAATAAACAACCCTTGTATCCTGCAACACCTTCTAGTTACATGAATAAATAAATAAAATAAATCTATGAAAACATGTCAACCGACAGTCAAAGTTTAATGATGCATCTACGTGATTCCTGAAATCATAATATCAAGCTTACCAATTTTACTAAATATAAATTCAATTTTCTTCCTGCAGCAGCAAAACACCCCTACAACAAGATGGACCCACCTCCCGCTCGACTGGAGAGTGTTTTGCTTGTTTGAATTATCTTTCTTATACCAGACATTCCCTACAAGTCCACAGAGTTCCAGTTTAGTCTCATTCAAACTCCCAGAACTCAACAAAACTAACCAAATTTTTCTTGCATGTTCATGTTGACTATTTATGTGCTTTTTGGTCAAGAATGTCATGTGGCAGGTTTTCCAGGCATTAAGTTTTTAGTTGTTTAGTGCTTTTCTTATAGTCTGCACTGATACGTTTGGTCCTACCTTCATTACGTTCAACACAATATACATTAAAGTGCTAAGTACCAAAGGCATCAATGGACACAGCTACTGTACTTAACTTCTGAGTGGTCTAAATCATATTCATATTCTGAGCGGGCTGTGAGCAGACAATGATTTATGTTTCACTAAAGAGACTCTGTTGTTCAATAGAGCATGAACTGCCAATCCTTATTATCCAAAATTCATTAAAACTGATCTTCATAAAAATGCTGTAATTAAAAGTGTCTATCAAACTGCCAAACCAGCTTGTTCTGCATATGTGCCAGTTTGGTTGCTGTATTTGAAGCAGAGGCTCTAATCGACATGAGGAAAACAAAAACAGAAACAGTGAAATGACAGAGGTAACATGGAAAAAGGGCTCAGGTGGTTTTGTTTGGCGTTGGGTGTCTTTAAATCCCTTCAAACTCATAGAAAACAACTGCCTATACTAAAAGATTAGTCTCATCCTACAAACAATTATACTGTAGCCAAAGTAACTCTCTCACCGGAAGACATCAACCTTCCATGAACAGTTGTCAAATGGTCTGATAAGCATGAAATGTAAATCATATGCCGCGGTTCTTCTCTGTCACTAAAGCTCAGCTCAATTCAACACATCTGGGAGATTCAGGGTATGTGCCTGTCACTAAGTTTTCCACAAATGTTTAAAAAGAAATCATGTCTGGGAGAATTTATTGTGTGTGAGAGTCAGTGTCACAACATCCCTGTGAGCTGTGCATGCTTGATTTCCACCTGTGGTGCTCTCTTCATCCATGAGATCACACACTGTACCTCATGAAGCAGAAACAACATTTAAATAACCTTTAATAAATAAAATCTAACTAAAAATAAGTCCTAGTTGTAGCTCTTGTATTTAGACTTTAAAAAAAACAAAAAATCACCTGTTCTGGAAGGTGTGGAGCCCGGCGGGGACACACTGGACCCTCCAATGTCCGTTGAGGTCTGAATAAAGAACAAATTTAATGGTTGTCTCCACCTGGAGCGCCTTCTCCAGGGCAAACAGATGCTCCTTCCAGGGACACCCACCCTGGGAGAACGACACTATCTCCCCACTGGGATCCACCTGGAGACCAGATGAAACCAGGAAATTAGGGGTTACTAATGTGCAAGCACAAAGAGTGGAGCCCCTCAGGTTTAGTAGAGAGAGAACTATTAAAGCTATCTGTGTAACTTACGATTAAAAAAAAAAAAAGGGCAAAGAATAATAAAAACCTAAACATAAAAATGAAACACAGGTATCAAGTATAAAAACCATGTGGCCCCCAATTCCTTTCCCTCCATGCTAGAGCACAGACAAAAATCTAAACTGAAAGAATGGCATTAACTGTCAATGAAAAGAAAAGAATTAGTGAAAAACAAATAAAACATCACTGAAAATAACAAAAAAACTGTTCTGGCTCCACAATAAGCTACAATCTCTCAGTTCATCGAGAGCAACACAGAAATACAGGGTAAGGTTTGCTCCTATTAAATATACTGTATTGTTTGGTTTCATTTACAGTAAATTGTTAATATAATGTACATTGATATTGTTTGATTCATACGAGAAAATCTAAGTTGACAGCACTAATGCATTATAAACTGTTTCATTGCTTACATCGCTAATGATTAAATAATCTTGACAGCCTCAGAATTATAGTGCAATACAAAGAAATAGAAAGTACACATTAGACTGGACAGTCTCGTACCTGATACCTCTCCTTAATGGCTTTCTCCACCACCACACGAGCTGGCAACCAGGAGGACTGATAAAAATCCAGGCGGTCCAGGAACTCCTCCCCAACCATCTTCATAGCCTTCCTGAAGCCCTCCTGGTGAAAACCAATATTATTTACACCTTTTGTTATTATGACACCACCTTGGAATTTTAATAGTTGGATGTCACATCCTTCTCCAACCTGAGACTGACCTCCCTGTCTCATCATCTTATGAGCAGAAACCCAAGAGAGCATGACAAAGAAAGAGAGTCATACACATACAGACACTTCAGTTTGCTATCTGGTTGAAAGGGCTGAGTTTTAACGGTCACAGATGGAGACGATGAAAACCCATTAGGCCTAGGTTTTTCAATTACCACACACGGCCACTGTTGAGAGTGCACCACATCAGTGTAACCAAACTGCCAAACATTTTCAACACAAATGTTTCCTCACTCCCTGATGTCTCAGAGCTGTCTCACTTAGCAGTGTGAGTGCGAGCGGGAAAACTGAAGGAAAGTGCCCGGACATGAATTATAATGAGCTGAATTGAAATGTGTAAAAAAAAAAAACAGGGCAGCAATTCTACTGAGGCAGCTGCAAATGATGGGGGGAAAAAAGGCTGCCATAGTCAACATGCACATATGCAAAGCCAGGCTACAGGTATCCCATGAGAGTCTGCAGAAAATAGGTGCTGCTTCCCCACAGACATTCGCCTCCTGTACTGCTGAGAGAGAAAAGTCACACTACACCATTTCTGAATCTGCACAGCTGTAAAAGTGTCCTCTGAACGGCTGCACTGCCTTGCACCTGTCGTGTTCACCACAACATTCTTATGTTTTTGCACAACACTGACATGCAATGTATCACAATTACAGTTGATACTGTGAACATGTTTACAGATTCAGCAGATACAGATCACCATTATCATTCATCTGGAATCATGTTTGTGGCCACCTGGAAAATGTAGGTCAATATTGACTCTCCCTTAGCTCTTTAGAGAATTATATGTCTCTTTATCTGCTAAATGCACCTGTGTTTACCAGCTGGTCGCCAACAGTGTCTGCAAATATATAACAAATGTTATGCCTCAGGCCAGCCTGTGCAATAAGTGTGGATATATTTATTGTTGTGCATTCACTCACACACACTTACCTCAGTGTCTTGACTCCTGCTGTTCCACCGTGGGTTCAGGTGGCCAACACGTGCACTCAGCGTGCTGGTGATGGCGTAGCGGGGCTCCTCATCACACTGTGAAATGCCATTGTCTATAGCATCCACTTCCTCCACAAAGTTCTCATATAGCTGCAAGAAAAGAGACACATGACAGAAGAGGTGATGAACCTATAATGATGAGGGCATCAGCTGTTTTATGGTTATGTTTATTTTTTAAAATAACCACTGGCTGGCTTTATTATTTTTTTTTATGTCAGTGTAGGCAGAGAGGACTTTCAGGAGAGAGAAATATACTGGAATTACATTATCCCAATTGAAACCCATTTGGTCACAGTGTGTGGGCAGTTACTGAAGGCTAAAGTGCACGGCTGGGTCATTAAACCAAATGGAATAGCCAAAATGCTACTATTTTACAGTTCACTGGCAAAACACAAAATTTCCCACTACATCAGAAGGTCAGCTGCCAAAGAGTTGACATTTTAAAGGTGGCTTACAAGTGGAGCTTAGCTTTGGGGCAAAAACAGAGGTTCAGTTTGTCTAGACTAGCAGAGGTCGGGGCGTGCAGCTTTCTAAAATAAATAAATGTTCAAGCCATGAGTAAAAGGATCACTCTGAACTGATGCATCACAAGGACAAGGACAATGCAAATTAATTGTGCTAATATTTATAGTGAACTAAGATTCAGCTGGTTTAATATACCAAAGGTTTGGCGTACTGAGGCCTGCTGCTGGCCAGGCTGTTCATGAGTCTATCATATGCAAACCACAATGCAGGATGTCCATGGCAGGACACGGCAGCAGAAGCTGCTGCTCTGCTACTGGGAAAATGTTTGGCATTTTAATAAGACTAAGGCTGAAATGTTTGGAAAGAACACAAAGTGCTGTGTCTGATATACAAAGGGCCCTGTTAACACAGTAAAGACATGAAAGTTTATAACTGTGTTATTATCTTAAGCATATTGGGTTTGTCTCCTTAGGTGAAGATCAGATCACCAATTAATAAAGATAACTGGTTAATTCCAGAGGGTTTCTATATTTTCCTTTGATGTGATATCTATGCAGAGAAGCCATCTTTCCTTTTGACCTCTTAACAGACTTTTCTTCCATCTGTCTCCCAGCTCCCTGTGAAAATTCTCTGTTTAGATTCAATGTGCCAGACAAAGTAATATTTTGACATGAGTGATGCAGTGACAAACATCTGTTTCCAATCAATGGTAATTCACTGGCTGCAATAAATCTGCCGTGCTTCTGCTCTCACCTTGTCATAGAGGACCTCCAGCTGCATGTCGTCCTCCTTCAGCTGCGTCAGCTGGGACAGCAACCGACGACCGAAGTACAGGTAGACCAGGCCGGCGGAGCTGAGCTTAGTCACCCACGGTTTTTCTGGGCGCAAGCTGTGGAAGCTCTCTGCAAAAGTCCTGAACATGGAAGAAAGAGGCCAGTCTGTTAGCTGGGTGCACCAGAAACAGTATTCTTTTTAATGCCAAGATAATATGTACTCAGAGTGGATATAAAAAGAATCATGAGCCAGTAAAAGACTTTAATGTGGAATTGGTTTATCAGAATTAAATTAAGACTGCAATTATTGTCACTGTCAATTAAGCCAGTGACTGTTTCTGCAGTTAATTCATTAATCATTTTGTTTATAAAACTGAGAAATAGTGATAAATGCCCTTCACATCACAATGTTTTCAAATGTGTTCCAAAGTGTGGTTTCCATTTGTACCGATTTAAGATTAGAAAACTTTTCTGTGAAACCAGTTCACATCTTAACAAATTTAGCAGTGAAGATAAATTACTAACAATTTATTTTCTTATGTAATAATAATAATAATTTAAAAATGTATTAAGCCAACTGTGATGATCAGCTTGTATGTAGACAAGGAGTCATAGCATCATTCTTGTATGACAGAAAGACCCAATTAAAGCAAACAGAAGACAGCTTACATCGTTTTGAAAAACTGAAAAGCACTTCATAGACTTTAATGAGTAGGCTTCTGACATTCAATACTTAGGCCAAAGCCTTGTGACTAAACTGTAGTGTTTAAACTCTCTAAGAGACTATAGACATTTTTTCACAATAACTGGCATCTTCAGATATACTGTATACTATGCACCACCGGATGATGCATCAGACATCAATAAAACGGACTTCCATAAATATTCTCCTCAGCTTCAGAGAGTGAGACTGCATTGACTGCAGACATAAAGCATGCTCAGGCGTGTTTGTAAGTGTATGCACAAACAAATAAAAGCCACCGGAGACCTCTCCTCAGCCGCTGCTGGCCATTTCATTCACGCTTAATTAGGATGCTTGGGCAGCAGCACAGCAGAAGAGGAATGAGTGACATGCTAGGGAGGATGGGGGGTAATCACAGCCATTACAGCTCTAATTGGCCAAGCTGAGGCATTTCTATGCTGATTATCAGAAGATGGGAATAAATGAGGGAAGGAAAGTGAGTGAAATGGAGAAGAGCTGAAAAGGACAGCCTTGCCAAAGATAAGCCATCAAAGAGTTTCTGTGAAATCAAACATGCTTACATCGCTCTATTATTTACAGCACCAAAATAAATCAAAGTTAATCACTGAAGAGGACTATAAAAACAAAGAGTGGGACATATTTAGGTGAAAATTAAATTTAACCAAGCACTGACTAAACATCTTTAATATATAATGCACTACAGTTTCCATACTGCACAACTTTTTCTGATCACACTACATCATTAGAATTAATGGCCTTATTTCATACTGTTTACTGTGTCATCACGATCTTTCTCCTACTTGAAAAGTTACAAGAAATGCCAGCACATGATTTTAGAAAGACTTGTGAACAATTCCACATGCAGCACTCAGTGCTGCTAGATTAAACATGGCATTAAACAGGGTGCATACAGTATAAACATTTTAATTATTTTGTGTATACATGTTCAGTTGAACTTGCATTTATTTTTTTTTTTTGAAGATGGGAAGATGACCCTTGCTGTGTCTATGAATCCTGCTTTGCTGATCCGCATACTTTTAAATTATGTTACAACACAAAACTGCGTAAAAAAAAGATTGAACTATTTTATTTCTCTACTGATGGACATTCATAATTGCGCCACAATAGTATATTTTCTTACTTTTATTTTTCTTCTGAGTGCAGTGAGTGCATTTCGAGTATGAGCATCCACAAACCTAATCCCTTCCAGATCTGACCTGCTGTGCTTTATTAACTTTCAGCCAGTGTTTGGGGAACATTTCTCCTGCCTCCACTTCTTGCAGCCATTCTTTTCTCTGCTTAAGAAATGTTTGAAATTTCTAAAAGAACTTTTACATATCTGCAGCAGTTTGTAGATGTTGTTTTATGAGGGAAAAAAAAGATTCGTAAAAAAGCTTTTTGTCTTTAGGCTTCAATTTGCGGGGACAGTATTTGTAATCATATGGTTTATTTTGTAAAGTTTGGATGAAAAAGTAGCAAAGATCCCCTATTAACTGTCCTTGGTCTTCCTTTAGAAAAAAATAATTCAACATTTTGGGAAATACACTTGTTTGCTTTTTAGCCAAAAATTCTATGAGAAAATATCACATGGTATATCGATATAATCCTCTTAAGTGTCCATTCAATATGAAGTTAAGCTAGGAATCTCAGCACTCCAGCTTCATACTGAACTGTGATATCTTATCTGTCTCTCAACAAGACAAATAAGCATACTTCCCTAAATGTCAAACTGTTCCTTTAATGGCTTAATTTCATGCTATAATTTTACATTTCTAAATGTGATGTATCGGTTTTGCTGTCAAATTCATCTGTACATTGTCACTATTTTTAAAAAGTGTTACTGAAATGAGGACTTGCCCTCTTGTCTTTCTAGCCAGCTCCTTCTCCACCTTCCTCCAGCACCAAAAAACCATCCCTGCTATCACTACCCCCTTGTTCCCATCCGCGCACATGAGTGACAGCCACATTCTCCTGTGACCCCTGACAGTGTGAACCAACAGCAGGGGGCCATTCTACTGACAGAGAGCTAATTATCACTAACCACCTGCCAGGAAAAGAACCCTGGCATATCTTTATCACCATGGTCATTAAAGAAGTCTTTGATTATCATCAGGACATTAAGCTTACAAGACACCTGCAACGGCCTGATTACTCACCGTGACGAGACTTTGAGCAAACGCAATCATTCCTAAGGAACTTTGGCAGGAAATTTAACAAAACACACAGCGCTTGTTCCTTCTTGATTCGTGCAATCAGGGTGATTCAAGGATGTCAGAGCAGGAGTCACATAGAAATTTAAGTTCTCATCCTCTGACCTACACTTTGATTTCTGGGACGACACAAAATAAGCAAAAGCTCTAAAATCCAGTTTGATTTCCAAGTCTAGACTTTAGGAAGCCATGATGTGGTCAAGAAGAAGATGAAGAAGATGTGAATTTAAATCCATGCATGAAAAGGGCAATGCGTACAGATCTATCATTACCTGTGTGATCCTACGCTTTGGAATTAACACAGGCCTCACAACAAACACTCCATTATTCTCATTGTTTAAATGAAACAAATTAAAGTCCAACTGATACTGGATTTCTGAGGCTGGTACTATTATTAATATTTCAGAGTTTATAAAACCTTATATAATGATATATTTCCTGATAACCATTATTTTGTATTAATCAATAACAGAAACAAATTCCAATAGGAATCACTTCAATTTGTGGACTACTACACTCTACATTTGAAAAAATGTCTGAAGCCTTCTGTCGAAGAACTACGCAAAGGCAACAATGTTTCTAAATTCCCTTTTGATTAGCCTAATTGTTTAGTAATGTAATAAAAAGCCTGAGGTAACATTTTCATAGCGCTGCAACTAACAATTACTTTCTTGATTATCATTGTCTATAAAATGTCAAAAAATAGTGAAAAATATCCACTGCTCACTTTCTCAGAGTCTAAAATGGTGTTTTCAAATGTCTGCTTGTCTGTTGGCGAGTCCAAAACCCAAACGTATTCTGTTAACACTGAGAAAAGAGAAAAGCAGCATATCCTCACATTTGAGAAGCTAGAACTGTGACAAAAAGTGACAAAAGTAATTGCCAAATGTCTATTTAACTTTAAAATATTCGTTTCAACTATCATTGATACTTATACAAAAAGCTAAAATTAGTTGGTAACATCTCTAATAAACAGAGGACAGTTTTTGCAAACATTAGGACAGATTAAAGAAGTAAAAGACCTCTGGTGATGGTCATAGCGGTGGGTCTTTGGGTCAAACTCTCCACCCACATCTACAACAATGTCACACTCTTCCAACTGGGCCTGGTCCCTGGTCCGAATGATTTCAGCATCCTGTGCAATTAATAGAAAGATTTGCAGATCTGTATTTATCATTAAGCATCCTGTAAAGGGGAAAAGAACATTTCAGGAAATAACACCTGGATGTCATGTATAGATCATATAGTGTATGTTTACTAGGATAAACCTTCTCAAACCAGAATTATTTTCTGTAGATGAATAATAAACGTCATGTTCTCTTCACCGGATAACTGCAGACACATCTGATGTTGCATTTACATTACTGATATAGACAACGTGGTACAGACAAATCAATGGCATTGTAGTTCAACTGTCCCACAAGGATTTTATCAACCCCCTCTTACTGTGTTTTATTGATTAAATATAAACAGATTTTCTTAAATGTAGTTAAAATTTTGATTCCATCAACATTACAAGATTTGAAGCTCCATTTGTTTAGTCAATAAGTCACTTTAAAAAGCCTTCTACCCTTAAAGGAGGATGTAGGAACCATTGTGGTGTAGTACTGAAATTTTTATAGCTCTGTTTCGTTTTTCAGGGACATCCATCTATCTATACAGCAGCACCCCCATTGGGTTTGTTATAACATGACATGGGACCCAAAGTAAACAAATATACGCTTTCACTGTGTGGTTTTAGCAGTAGCCTATTTTTAAAAGTTAAGCAAGTTAGAAGACAGTAAGCAGCAGCAGTTAAGGGAACAATAAACTCTAGCACCTTCCATCAACCCCCACTGAAGTTTACTGAACTTACCTTGTACTCAGGCAACTGACGGAGGAGAAAACAGGCCAGAACCTCGTCACAATGAAAGGTGCCGTTATGAGTTCCGATCTTTTTAACCGTCATATTTTCTGTGCAGAGTTTCTTGGGATGACTTGACATATATCGTGGCTCTATGCAAACAGCATCTACACAGAGCAAACCGCAGTTAGCTTGTGACTTTAACAGTCGTAAAACGTTTGCTGGTTTGCTTACACTTAGTAAAGACGGGATTTTTGTTAGACTGAGTGCTACAACACGAACACGAACACTCCACATTCAAATAGAAATCTACACGAGATGCATGGGTGACGGACAGATTTCACAGTCGGACCGGATATGGTGCGTCTATTTTGTAAATCCGGAGGAACCACTGACTGTATATAAACCTAGTCGAAGAATATTGGGTGCAATGCAGGCTCAGTATTTAACAGCCAGGTGGTGCTGTGGGCCAATCATTCTGCTGAACTGCTCTGCCTTGATCTCGTTACCAGTTCACTTGGCATGTTGACAGCTCTATTTCAATGTAATGAACTCGATAAACATTGATTTGAGGGGGGCTTCCATTTTCTTGAAAGGTAGGGTATAGGGTTTCTCTTGAAAAGGACTTTCAAAAGTCAATGGCCAAGCTCCATCTAGTTTTTAATCTGATCGCCTTTTGTTTCCTTCAAAACAGCAAATGTGGTAAAAACAAAGTTTGAAGATTTTAGAAAATGTGTCTTATAGGGCCACGATGCACTGCTGAAAGAAGTGGCCAACATTTAGATCAGGATTGAGCCTTTGAAACTTGCCAATAGGGAGAGAAATGTTTCAGATCATTTCCCTTGGCTGATAAAACACAAAGTTTTTAGAATCACCATTTAACTCTTAAGAAATCAATTCATGAATAGTTTCATTTTCACCTGTATTTATATTCTCAGTTTTAGACTGTTACAGAAACCTTTAGTGCTCATGCATAGTATCATTGTAAAGATAATAATCTGGAGCCTCATTCTGTGTGTTTTTCTTATTCCTAGTCCTACCACAACTAAGCTAGTACTCTTAGACCCAAAGGGGTTAAATTATGAATGAACTCTTTTATGATAATGCCACTTAATTGAAACAATATTTATTATTTTGCTTAGGAAGGTACAGCTCTTTTATTTGGCTGATTTGTTTTCATTTGTTAAAGGAAAAGAATACTTGAAGACTAAAATTAAGTGAAATTACTTATACCAACCCATTTTCAACATCTTATTCCCATAGATCAAATGAGTAAATACATTATAGCTCTTTTGCATTTGTCAGTGGGCTTTATAGCCCTTGATCAGCACCATGGACAGCGCACTGCACTGACACAACAGGCCAAACTTTTCTTCTGATGTTGCACAATGGATCTTGCTTTTATATTATTGACTTGTTTTTGAAAGAACAACCTTTTTTTACTTGTCATTTACGCTATATCATATCTTTACATTCTCTGTGTGCCATCACTTGCTTTGTAGTTTGTTAAGAAGTAGAATAATTGGCCTCTGGACTTTATCAGAATTAATGACTCTTAAAACAGCTAATATATGATCCAGTCAAGTGGGTAATTAGCATAATTGTGTATAATTGGTGACTGGTATGCCTCTGGAATACAAATTTAGGAAACAATGCCAGAACCTCCTTTTATGCTGCATATATTAGGCAAATGTAGGATCATGTCATCTTATGTGTGTTGACAGGCCACTGCTGGACATCTAGCTGAAAAATGCAAAGATGGAAGAAAAAAAATCAAACATATTTAGAATTTAAGGTAAATATGAGAAGTCATAAGATGATTATATTGGTAATAAGTGAAAATAACTATTATTATTATTATGATTGTGAGGCCATCACAAGCCAATAACACTGAGAACCACTAGGTTATACAAACAAATACAGGAAACCCTAAAACAAAAAGTATTTGAGATATCCAGTCACACACACACACATTTTTGTTTTACCTGGGGGGGTACTGTAGCTACTCCCTTTTCCCAAAAATCACATGAGTCACACTCACAGGCAAACTGGTAATAAACCACCCTGAAGATAACATTCATCAGCCATTCTCCTACATCACTGACCAACCAGCGCTGTGTCAGTCAGCACACCTGCCACCCATTGGCTCAACCCATACCATGAGATACAGTTCTGGGTGGTGACCAAGTCACATCACACTGCTTGTGCTTTTCCCTGCTGCTTCCAGTTTTACATGCAACAATGATGGGAAATTACGCTGCCTGAGCTTTCCTTAAAAGGAAGCGCAAAGCAGAGTTCAATCAAAACGTAACTATAGGGAACGTGTACATCACATTCCCCTGTTATAACACTGCAGTGGCCATTTGAAAACATTTATGCACACAGCATTTAAAAACAATAATATATTTTTTCACAGTGTTCATTGGCTGTATATTAATTTCTTAGATAGATAGATAGATAGATAGATAGATAGATAGATAGATAGATAGATAGATAGAATAATTAAATGGATTGCATGAGTTAAAATAGTCCATAATCATAATTAGTGATTTTATATATTTTGTTACACATTTTGTTTTGCTAAGTCTAATTGTTATGAAACAGATTTGTGCATATATGTTTAGTATTGCTGCTTGTGCTTTCTTGTCCTGCACCCTGAGAGAAAAAGTTCATTGCCATGAAACATTTTCACACAGCATATCTAATGAGGTACAAACCGACTTCCCTGCAGGCAAAAAGAAAGGACCCTCAAAACAACAGCCTAAAAATTGTCAGTATAATTATTAACACTACTTTGTAACAGCTGGTGAGCTTCTACACTCAAGGGCATTTGGGAAGTGTAGTTAATCCAATGATAATCTTGACTGTGGTTTACACATAGTATTGCTATAATTGCCATGTGTGCTATGCAATTATACTGTCACCAACTACATGGGTAGAGTTTACTAGCTTGTCTAAGCATTTGGTTCCCTCTAATAGATGCCCTTTATCAGCGCATCCAAGTGAAGCCACCAAATTGTACACTAATGGATTTTCCATTGACATAATGAATTAATTATATGTTCTGAAGTAGAGGGGTGCCAGATAATGCTGATTCATGTTATATAATAGCCAATATAGTGGAGAGAAATGGATGAGAAGGGACAGATTATAAGGTTTAAGTGATGTATTCAAGGAAGGTGTGTGTGCGCAGGGGAGTGCTGTATGTATAAGTGCGTTCACATGTGTGTGCATCCATTAGAATGCAGATTGCGTCCTCCAGTGTGAGTCACCCCCTCCTTCCTCTCTCCCTCCCCACCCATCCACCCACCTCACACCACCAGCAGCATCTAACTGCAGTCACCGCCTAATATTATGCCTCTGACTTCACACCAGCCAACTGAGGATTCTGTTTCTACGGCAACATGCT